AATGCACCCGCGACCTTCCAGTCCTTAATGAATAAGGTGTCAAAGAGCATGTTACGAAAAAGTGTGCTGGTTTTCTTTGATGACATATTGGTTTACAGCCGTACTTTGGAGGAGCATTGTGAGCATCTCAGAAGGGTGTTGGGAGTGCTACATGAACAGAAGTTGTATGCGAATCGGAAAAAATGTGAATTTGGATGTACCACGTTGGAACACCTGGGACACTTAATCAGTGCACAAGGGTCCGAGCTGATCCTAAGAAAATTCATGCAATGCAATCATGGCCAGTACCCAAGAATCTTAAGGAATTAAGAGGATTCTTGGGGTTGACGGGGTATTACAGGAGGTTCGTGGAGGGGTATGGGAAATTGGCTGAACCTCTTACAAGACAGCTGAAGAAGGACAGCTTCCATTGGAATTCCGACGCGGTGTTGCCTTTTCAGAAACTGAAGGATACTACGACGAATGTTCCAGTCTTGGTATTGCCAATTTTTTCTCTACCCTTTGTAGTAGAGACCGATGCTTCAGGAGTGGGTGTGGGAGCGGTATTATCCCAGCAACAGAAACCTATTGCCTTTTTCAACCAAGCTTTATCGGAAAGAGCTCAGTGTAAATCCATTTATGAGAGAGAACTCATGGCCATAGTACTAGCTATCCAGAAATGGAGGCATTACCTTTTGGGAAGGCATTTTATAGTGCGCACCGATCAAAAGAGCTTAAAGTTTCTGCTGGAACAAAGGTTGGTTTGCGTCGAACACCAAAAATGGGTCACTAAGTTGCTCGGCTACGACTTTGAGATTCAATATAGACCGGGATTGGAGAACAAAGCGGCGGATGCTCTATCCAGACTACCAACTACAGCAGAATTGTCGGCCATGACCATGTCCAAGGTGCTGGATTTGAGTGAATTGTAAAAACAGATAGGTGCTGAAGAGAGGCTAGCGGGTATTCGGGAAGCGTTACTTAAGGATTCCCTATCGATTGATGGCTGGGCATTGACTAATGGGTGCCTACTATACAAGCAACGGTTAGTCCTACCTAGAGGATCCGATTTAATTCCCAGATTACTCCATGAATTTCACAGCAGTGCACTGGGTGGCCATTCTAGTGTTCTAAAGACTAACAAACGATTGGCCAGAGAATTATTTTGGGCTGGAATGAAAAAGGATATACAGAAGTTTGTTGAGGCTTGCTCAGTCTGCCAACGGAACAAGTATCCGGCTCTATCACCGACCGGGCTATTGCAGCCCCTGCCCATACCGGAGGCCATTTGGGAGGACATTACAATGGATTTTATCGAAGGATTGCCTAAGTCTCGAGGGTGGGATACTATTCTTGTGGTGGTGGACCGATTGAGCAAGTACGCGCATTTTTTGACCTTGAAGCATCCTTTTACCGCTAAGACGGCAGCTGAACTCTTCATTCAAGGGGTGGTCAGACTTCATGGTTTTCCTCGTTCCATATTATCCGACAGAGACAAGGTATTCCTCAGCATTTTCTGGACTGAGCTTTTCCGACTCCAAGGTACTAACCTTCGCCGGAGCACAGCCTATCACCCAAAACGGATGGGCAAACAGAAGTGGTAAACCGTTGTTTGGAGACATATCTACGATGTTTCAGTAATGAGCATCCACGTTCTTGGTCTAAGTGGATTCCGTGGGCTGAATTTTGGTATAACTCATCCTTTCACACCTCTGCTAAGACCACTCCTTTTAAGGTTGTTTATGGAAGGGATCCTCCTCCGATCATGCGCTATGGGACTCAACACACACCCGTGGCTGACCTTGACTGGCAACTACAGCAGAGAGATGAGATGATTGCTATTTTGAAGTTACAACTGGAGAAGGCTCGGTCCCAAATGAAGAAGGTTGCAGACACAGGAAGGAGAGCAATTCAGTTTCAGGAAGGAGAACTAGTTTACCTTAAGCTCCAACCTTACAGACAGCGGTCCTTGGCTAAGCATGCTAACGAGAAGTTATTCCCAGATTTTTTGGTCCTTAACCCATTCTCCAGAAGATAGGAGCTATGGCTTACAAGCTCCAACTCCCAGCGGAGTCCAACATACACCATGTGTTCCATGTTTCACAATTACGGAAAGCCGTGGGGTCTACCACTTCCATCCAACCTCTTCCCACCCTTCTCGGCCCAGATTTAGAATGAATGGTGCAACCTACATGGGTGCTGGGTATCAGGCCAGCAAGTAGCCCAAAAAACACAGGACCGGAAGTTCTGATTCAATGGCAGGACCTTCCCTCCTTCGAAGCATCATGGGAACCATTTGATTTGATCAATTCTCAGTTTCCGGAAGTCCACCTTGGGGACAAGGTGTCGCATTGGCGGGGGGTTATTGATAAACCTCCCATACGGTTCACTTATCAGAGGCGCTACAAGAAAGGGGCATAATGGGAATTAGAGAGAAATATAGTTAATATGAGGGGCTGAAATGTAATTAAGTGAGGTCATATTGTTAGTAGTTAATAAATAGTAGATAGAGGGATCTAGGAGGGTATTTAGAAAATGTGAGAAAATTGAATCAATTAGGAGAGGGGCAGCTCTCGAAACCTGCCTTGCTTTCGTTCCTTTCTCAGTCTGTTAATTTCAACATTCAACTTCAATTAAAGAATTACTTCTTCTCAGCTGCTCATTACAATTTCTGCCTCGTTCTAATTTCAAGTTCATCCTGAGGTTATCGATTTCATTGGGTTCCAGCTGAATCTATCACTGAGGCTTGTCTCTGCAACTCCCCTTTTACTAGTGTCGGCTGAAAAAGAGGTGGTGCAGGTTTATTAACGACGAACCGGGGACGGAGGCTGTTGTATCCGGCGGCGGGTAGAAGTAGGGCGGCGAGTTTGGGGTGGAGGTGATTTGCAGTTCCGAACGGCTTGTGGTGGTGGAATGATTGTCGGCGGTTGCAGAAAAGAGTTTTCGATTTATTTATTTTATTTTATTTTATTTGTTTTTTGAAACTGGTTGTGCGGCGCAAGGGAGCGAGCAGTGGGTGCAGTTTAAGAGAGCGGGATGCGGGCGCGAGAGAAAACTGGTGATGGAGTGTGGTGGGGTTATTGATAAACCTCCCATACTTATCAGAGGCGCCACAAGAAAGGGGCATAATGGGAATTAGAGAGAAATATAGTTAATATGAGGGGCTGAAATGTAATTAAGTGAGGTCATATTGTTACTAGTTAATAAATAGTAGATAGAGGGATCTAGAAGGGTATTTACAAAATGTGAGAAAACTGAATCAATTAGGAGAAGGGCAGCTCTCGAAACCTGCCTTGCTTTCGTTCCTTTCTCAGTCTGTTAATTTCAACATTCAACTTCAATTAAAGTATTACTTCTTCTCAGCTGCTCATTACAATTTCTGCCTCGTTCTAATTTCAAGTTCATCCTGAGATAATCGATTTCATTGGGTTCCAGCTGAATCTATCACTGAGGCTTGTCTCTGCAACTCCCCTTTTACTATTGTCGGCTGAAAAAGAGGTGGTGCAGGTTTATTAACGACGAACCGGGGACGGAGGCTGTTGTATCCGGCGGCGGGTAGAAGTAGGGCGGCGAGTTTGGGGTGGAGGTGATTTGCAGTTCCAAACGGCTTGTGGTGGTGGGATGATTGTCGGCGGTTGCAAAAAGGAGTTTTCGATTTATTTATTTTATTTGTTTTTTGAAACTGGTTGTGCGGCGCAAGGGAGCGAGCAGTGGGTGCAGTTTAAGAGAGCGGGATGCGGGCGCGAGAGAAAACTGGTGATGGAGTGTGGATGTCGATTGGTGTGGTTGAGTGTGGCTGTGGATTGGAGTTATAGTTGGTGGATAGGTGACTGGCCGTCGTAGAAAACTTGTTTGTGGCTGTGTGTATCAAACGAATAAATGAGGATGGAGGTTTGTTGGTGGGCCGTGGAATTTTAGGAGAAAAATGATGGTTGTTGAGCAGTGTTTGGGTGTTCTGGGATGTCAATTGAAAATGGAATCGGGTTTAGCTCTGATACCAAATTTGATGCAGGATCAATAGCAAAATAAGAATTGCAGGAAGAAGCAGTAGAAGAAAGAGAGAAGCTGTGAAGAAGAAGCCGTGAAGAAAGGGGAGAAAGAAGAAGAAGAAGAAGAAGAAGCAGGGGACGGGGAGGGAGAAGGGAGAAAACGGGCCGTAAGCAATTTTCAATTCGTCATATTTCTAAATTACAATGAAAAATTCAATAAATAGTAAAAATCTAATAGGCTTGAGTTAACCCACTACTACAAGCCTCATAACGGAAAATGTAAATAATAAAGCCCAATAACAATAAAATTAAGTCTGGACTGACAAAGCCCAATAACAATAATAATAAAAAAATAAAAATAAAAATTCCAATGTCTCGATTATGTCAGCATCAAATGTGGTATAGAATGGGTTGAGGACGTGAGTTTGGATTTGAAAGTGGTTGGTTTCATTCTAGATTGTTAAGTAAGTTTGCCATTTCTGTTTTGTAATTTCCGTCAATTTGGAGAGATGGGAGTTAAATGAGTCGTGGATGAATAATTATATGGAAAGATTCGCGAGCATTGGGTAACCCACAAAAGATGAGTGAATAAGTGGTAATAATGTTAAAGTTCAATGAGTATTGATTAAATTTACTATATTTAATATTGTAAGTAATGTGTACCAAATATACAACAGGGCTACATTTGGCACACCGGAGTAGACCGTAAAAGAAACTATACATAAAATTAGATGAGATAATACATAGTAATAGGATGGATTAAGGTGGATAAGAATGCTATTTGAACTATGTTTCTTATCCTATTCCTACTTAAACTCACCTCCTCGCTCCGTATTACAGATATCATACAGTTAGCTTAAGAAAGATAGTGCAGATAACATTCTTTCGAATAAAAATCTAACAAATACTATCAAACTTAATCCTCTACAATAATGTCTACATACTATATCAAGTATATTTTTATACTCAATTCCTTTTCTGGACTAATTCAGTATACCAAACATAACCTGAAGGCGTTAACTGTAACCTTACCTTGATATAGTAAGCCTTCTTAATATCCGCGGGCGAGGCATCAACCCCAACTCCCAAGATGTCATAATATACTGTATCCTTCACCATAGCTTATCAGTCACGGACTCACGATATTTCCACCGGCTCTACAAACCTTCAACCACTCAAATTAGGAGAAAAGGTGAAAGCCACATCTAGATAAATCAAGAATGCACAAATAAAAAAAAAATCTAAAACAGACAACTAGAGATTTAAATACGGAAATTTTCAGCGCACAAGAAATTGTAAGAAAACTGACTACAGAAATTTCAGTCCCATTTTTTTTGGAGGAATGAAAATAAATAAAAGTTCTTTCACTTCTGGGTAAATCATAAACAGATCAGAGGTGAAACAAGAACTCAATCATACAAGCCTAACAAAAATGGGGGAAGTGGTAAAATCACTGTCTATCAATTCAAAAGAGGGGGGCGGGGATGAAATGAAACCCATTAAACATAATCGTCATAAAATAACATACCTACTACGCAACGCAAGCTAAATTAATTCTTCTCTGGGTTCTTGAGTTCCTTTGCTTGGGCAAATCAAGTTTTTTAGCATTTTCCCAAATCTTGATTTTATTTATGTTAATTTGTACCTGACCCAGTGATGTTGACGTAGGAATGTTAACTTAAACGCGTAATTACAATTTACAACCGACCAGAAAAATAAAAATACCGCGTAATCTCCTTTTTTTAGGCATAAACAATCGGATTTAGACTGTATTTTTATATATACTCATAATTCAACATGACATATGATTCTAAAATATTTTATAAGTGTTGTAAAATTAATATTTGATATTAATTTGTTTTGAGAGGATTTGACGAATCTTAAATGAACTAAAGAAAATATAATTTTTTTAAAAAAAACTGTACTTTTAAAACTCAACTTCTATGATTCAATTTTTTTAATGATGAAATAATACAGATAAGCAACTTTTTTATACTACATTGATACATAAGAATTAATTGGTGATACGTGAATTTAAACCCCCATTAAAATTCATAAATACTGAATAGAAATAAATTCATTTATAATAAATCAAGATTCATTGTATCTAAATTAATGTGAATGTTAATTAATTATGAATTAGCCCCTGTTTGGCCCCCATTATTGTAGATTTTTAGGGGGTTGAAAATTTTTAGAATAGTGATTGATAGGAGATGTGTGGTTGAAAAGTTTTAGATTTGTGTGTATTATTATTTTATTTGATGAATGTATG